CAGCTGGCTTTTATGGCTAAGGCAGGACCAGAACTCACAGTCTCCTGGTAACTGGCTTAAAGTCACCCAACTGGCTTTCACGCTTGAGATAGGATTAGAACTCACAGTCTCCTGGTGACTAGCCCAAAGACATCCAGCCAGTTTTCATCTCCAAGGTGAAACTAGAACTCACAGGCTCCCACTTTCTAGACCAAACTGGCTCTCAGCTCCCAGTTGCCCCTGCTGGTTTTTGTGTCTGAACAAGCAAGGTTGTTGATTCCTTGGCATCAGGCTTAGTGGTTGAGAAAGTAGTCAAGGCCTCTCTTGAAACAAGCCAACCTTTCCCCCCCCCATAATTAGCCGTCCGTGCCCATCTACGCACGTGCTTGTGCATGCACATACGCACACTATTGCTCACAGCTTCAAAAAAGAACAGGTGGAGAATAAATGATAATTACAAATCAATGCCTACTACTAAGAGGGCATCATGTACTGCCAACCAAAACAGATATTTTAAATCCTCTATAATTAACTCTAATAGTGCAGCACAGATTGTTCTACTGTGAGCACTTCACGGAAATGTGGACGTTTTTGAAACAAAACTTCCATACCAGAAAAATAAAATAAAAAGGCAAAACAAGAAGCCAAACACAACTCAACTCTGTTTGTACAAAATCGTTAAACAGAAGCCGCCAAGTTTCAACCCAGCTCTCCCGCTTTGGAGCTGATTATTATTATTACTCGTGGATGGGTCTGAATTTATAAAAAGATAGAAAAAGGAAGATAAAGCTGATCTGAACACTACTCAATTTTAAAAATGGGGATGGAAAATACTCACGGTGTCTCCTGCCACGATTTTGCAGTGCCAAACACAATATTGCATCTGATCGTGAGATGGAATGAATAATGAGTTGGAATAATAATGAAAAATGAGTGGTGAAGTCAGGACAAAATGCTTGGCTTTAGAATTCATCTGGAGAGTAGACATGTTTAGCAAGCTTTTATGTATTTATGTATTTATTTACTTAATGTACTTATTTATTTATTTATTTAATTTATATGCTGCAAATTACCAAAGGCAACTCGAGGCGATTTACAGCCATTCAGTAAAAATGCCATGTAAAACATTAAAAGAATAAAGATCTTAAATTTAAAAAATAATTTAATTTAATTTAAAATTTCAATTTAAAAGGTCCATTTATAACTGCTGATTTACAGTTTCCTCTGGAATTGGAGATTGTGATGATAGGTTTTATACATTCAGTGACCATCCTATGCAAAATTTCTTTTGAGTGGTTCAAGTGAACCATGAAACTCAGTCTGAATTACAAACAATGCCTACTAATGATGATAGAGATAGATGGATAGATAGATCAATCGATTGATCAATCAATCAATGATGATGACATAGATAGA